TAAATGATAAATAATAAATGATAAATAATAAATGATAAATAATAAATGATAAATAATAAATGATAAGTAATAAATAACAAATAATAATGAAATTGATATTATAATTAGGATAAGAGTAATAAAAATACTAATTACTACTATACTAATTGCTACTAATAATAATTAACAATAATAATAAATAATAAAATGACAGAATATCAAATAAAATCAGAAAGATGAATTGATCTAAAATAAGAAGCATGCACTGACAACTGCATTAAATCATTCTAATTTTGCATAAAAGAAATAAAATTTTAAATCCAAATGTTTCAATTTTTCATCGGAATCTTTTTCAATGAATATTAAAAAAAAAACGTCTCGAATTTTCCACTCTATCATCAAACAAACAGATTAATTAATTACTTGGAATTATCCATGATTAGTAACTGAATTAAATTTACATAAATTGTTATTGATAGCAATTGAAAAGAAATAAAATTAAAAAAAGAATAAAATAAAATAAAATATTACGAACCAAGTTGTGCCTGTTGTGGTTCAGCATATTGTATTAAAGCATTGTCTTTTTTATTGAAAAGAATTTTAACTCGATGTACATCACCATATACACCTGAAAGGAAAAGAATATCTTCTATCATTTGATTATTGATTTATGCATTTTATACCATTCATTTATCATTTTAAACAAAATTTTCAGCTATTATTTTGCATATTTGCTTTAATTTAAAGAGAAAAAAAATTAAAAAAATAGAAAAAATTAAACGAAAAAAGGGGAATTTAGAAAAAATTTTTCAATGTACATCATTCGAAGAAATCATTTAAATTTCATGCTAATAATAATGAAAAAATGACCGAATTAAAAAAAAAAAACGGTCATAAAGATAATTTCAAAAATTTTTCTTTTTTTTAAATTTTTGATTAAAATTTATTGAAGCACAAAATGTGGAACAAAGCAATAGCACATCTAGCGGAACTATAACTACAGAAAAAAAAAGAAAAAAAGAAAACAGTAGAGCTTTTTTGAACTATATGGAAAGTATAGTAGCTTTCAGTGCTAATGAAATATAACGAGAAAATATAGCGAAAAAAGAAAAAAGTTTTCCAGCAACTTTTGTAAACTGCAAAAAATTGGTTTCGTTTTTTTCTTTTGTTGAATTAAAAAAAAAAACTGAAATATAGAAAATGAGAATAAGCGTATTTATAAAATTTTTTTTTGGTTTTCGATTTTTTGTAAAATTTAAAATTTCATATAATGAATTCTTTTTATTTTAATCGTAATCAAACTCAGGATCTGACAAATTTTCCGTCGAATAATCCAGAAAAAGCATTCGAATGAGGGAGAAAGAAAGAGGGATTGATAGAGGAGAAGAGAAAATGAGGGAAAAAGGGATGAAAAATTTAAATGACAGATCTGAATTAAGTAATTTTTCATTTCAGAAATCTCAATTAAATGACTTTCACTTAAATCATTTTACATATTTTTTTTTGCACCTACAAAAAAATCCGGATCAAAAATCGGAATTTTTAATGCCTTTCAGGAAAATGTTAGTTTCGGGGAAAAATAATTTCAAAAATTTATTTTTCCCTTTTTCTTTCTTTCTCTCTCTCTCTCTCTCTCTCTCTTTCATTTCCTGACTAAGAATATTGGCTGAAATTTAACAATATTTCCAACTATCAGAGAATGGAGCAATAGAGGTCATCCATATCCTATTTTAATCTGTGTAATGGCTTAATCAGATCCTAAAAAATGCTTGTATAGCAAGTTTATTTGGCACGGATACGTCAAATAAACTGATTACTGATTTACGTTTTTTGCCAACTAAATGTCACCAAGTGTTTTTAAATCATTCAAATAATCCCTATCAAATTTTAACAAGGAAAAAAATCAGTTTAAAAAAAATTTTATTGATGAAAAAAAATAGGAAAGAGAACAAGCATACGTACCGAAAAGAGTGAAGAGAGCATCTGGCGTGACTTTCTGAAAATAGGACAGCGATAGTGTGTGTGTCTGTCAGTCTGTCTGTTTCCATGTGTGAATAGAAATTTTTTTAAAAAAAAAAGAAAAAAAAACCAAGAAAATAAAAACTAAAAATAACAAAAAAAAATAGGCATAAAATGCTATTTGTAGAAAAATAGAAAAGTTCGAAATTACAATTTAAATTTCAACAAAACAATTATTATTAATTTAATTGCTTAATCATGAAAAAAAAATTAATTATTTGTTATATGCTATCCTTTTTTTTTTTTTAGTACAATAAAAAAGGGTGTGATAAAATATGGACGTCTTTGATATTTCCTAATGGCACTTCTCGTTAAGCAATTTTCAAACTAAAGTCAACTAGGAATTTCGAAAGGATTATTTTTTCCTTCAAGAATTTCATAAATATTAGTATCGTGAAAACGATACTTAACTACCTAAACAACACTAGCATATATTGTTAATTTAATAAGTCAATAAATTTAATAGGTCATTCTATATTGTTTTGCTATTGATCATTTACGTGTAAATTAAATGCTAATCACTAATTTCAATTTTTTTCTCCTTAATTGCGCTGAATATTTGTGAATTTTTCACAGAAAAAAAGGTAAAATTACGAAAGTTAAGAGAAGTTTATTGCCTTAAGGCAAATAGTACGAAGCATAAGCAAAATAGTTATATATATATATATATACCAATAAATATCAAAACAAAATGGTACCAACATTTTCATTTAGATTGGAGACAAGCACAACGGATGACATATTCAGAACATTGACATGCGGAAAACGAAGTGCCGCTGCGGTAGCATTAATCATTGCCGCATTAGCTGTTACCGGACTTGTTGCACCGGATGCAAGAGTTGTTGTTAAACCAGTAAGAAATGGTGAAATTCCGGTTGGTGATGCTAATGCATCTGTAAAATTTTCTATTTTTTCTTTTAATTCATAAGAAATCTTTTCGAAAATATCATGACATTTGTATTTTTAAACATACCAGCTTGCGGAAATGCGGCAGCTTGTTGTTGAAAAGCATATTGTGGATTTGTTGCACCAAACGGAAATGCAAACGGTGATTGCACAAGTGATGCAATTGCCGGGCCCATTTGTCCACCTGTTGCCGCTGATACTGAAATATTCATATGGTAAAGATGAAAAGTATCATTAAGTTCCCGTCAAAAAAAAAAAAAAAAGATCGGTTCCAAAATTGCACGAAAAGAAGAAATTCGAAAATGGTAATTTTTTTTTCACTATTGAAACGAATAAGCAAATAATTCAACCAGAAAATGGGCAGTCGATAAATTATACAGTTCTCATTACATTTCTCTTGTTATCTGTTTTTTTTTTTTACGAATAATTCTGACTATCATAATAATTTCACAACTGCGCTAATAAAATAATGATTGTTAATAACTGTATTGTGAAAAGAGATGTATGAAACTGATGAAATTACAAATTGCTAATCATTCATTCAGAATTTACTACTTTTTGATAGAATTTTGAATCTATCGAAAATTATATGGAATCGAATTTTGAATTTATCGAAAATTATATGGAACTTCCTTCTTTATGATATTCCATACTTACGGATAATAGTGTAATTTCGAGAGTGAAAACAAACCAAGACTAAGCTGTTGTTCAAGAGTTAATTCACCGGATGGTAAATTTGGATTAGTATAATCTCGACTTTTATCATTATTGTATTTAACATTAAGTGTAGCAAGTTTGCTGTAATCAATACGAAGACAACAACATCCATTGTAAACATTTTGACCATCCAATGATTGTCGCGCTAATTGGGCACTATTCGCTTCACTAAGCTGTACTAATGCTTGAAATGTATCTAAAATAAAACAAAAAAAAAAGTAAACAAACAAACAACTGGACAAATAAACAAACAAACAAACAGATAAAAGATTTAATTTGATCAAGAAATATTTGCGCAAACGAAAAAGTTTCACAATGATATCAAACGTTTATGATAGAATGAAGTTTAGCATACTGTTAATAATTTATCGTGTTTTTTTTCCGTTCATAACTTATCTATTTGATTTTTTTTTAATATTATTTATCAATTTTTGTACATTATTTTTGAAATTTCAAAATTCATCCATTTATTATCACAGATATTTCCAATTAGTGGTTTAATGAGCGATGAACAATGAAGAAATAATTAATTAAACGGTAGCATTATAAGCTTCTTTTGACAAAAAGCCAATTTGGGAAGCTTGATCAATAATAAATGCAATTGCGTTCACCGATGAGAAGTGAATCATTTTGAAAATTTTACGAAATAATCCTGTTTATTTTGATTGTATCTATCAGTTATAAATCGCAATTTAATACTCAAATTTTGAAGTGATAAAAATAATAAAATAAAATCATTTTTAAATAATTGTTCTTCATAGCTACAAAAGAAAATTGTCTTTTATCAGAACTGTGATAGCAAAAATTATACATAATATACTAATGTGTAATAAAAAAATGTTTGAGAACTTAAAAGAAAAGAAAAGGGATCTAACTATTTTTATTAAATGTAATGATCCGAAGAACTTTGCCATATCTGGAAAAGATCTGATGGAGCACATCGAGAGTTACCGGATATAGCATATTTTCAATGATAACACGTAGCACCGAATTTGGTTGTTGTTGCGTACATGCGGAAATATCCAATGCGGATGCACTAATTGGAGCGGTACCGGTAGCTGTTGAACCGTTACCCAAAACTAACAGATTTGATGCCTGAAAAATATTTCAATTCTCTATCACTCTTTTCAACTGCCATCAAATCAAATCAAATTAAAAAAGGTAGAAGAAAAAGAGTAAAAGATTCTCTCTGATATTCATTAGAAAAATATTTGAAAGCATAATTAGAAAATATTTGAAAATAAATCCCGTAATTATTCTAAAATCAGACTGTCATTTTCTGTGTGAAAATTTTGTCATTTTCGTTTTCTATTAGCTATATTAGTACTTAATATTGTGACCAAATAAATCAACGGTAGCAATATGAAAATGTAAAATTTTTGAACTAAAAAAAAATAGAAATATTTTAAACGCATTCAATTTACAACTGGAAATTCACCTGATAATTTCACGCACACACAAGCATACACACATACACATATGTATACATATGAAAACTTATTACAAATGTGATAATTGAATTTTATACTAGCCAAAGATCTTCTTATCACCTAATAAATATCATTGTTGAATGAAATAAATCCCTTCCATTAAAAAGAATGTATCACTTTTCGTTCTATTAATTTGACATTTAAATTATCACAACTAATATTAGAACTGTACTATTAGTAGTAGTAGAATGTATTTAATATATCTAATTTTATGTTTCCATCAAATAAACAGGTTATTTAAATTTTTAATCTTATCGCTGATCATTAAATTTAACTACTCGGAAGGATTATATGTATAAAATCAAATGTTAATTTTTTTTTTTCTTTGCAAAAAAAAAAAAGTTTGATTTGATTTAGGGAGGAGTTTTTGATGAGAATGAATTGCGAGATATATAATTGACAATATTGAAGTGGCAATGATTATATCCAGAGGATACCATTTGTTCCTGAGGATCTTGTTGTGATTGTGATTGTTGTGATTGTGATTGTTGCGAATGTCGCATCTGATCCATCGATGAATGTTGTCGTCTGTTGCAGACAGATTCTTGTAAATTGATAGCAGTTGATGATGCAACAGCAATTCGTGATGATTGTTCGTTGTTGGCGTTAGCGTTTGAATGACGATGAGAATGATAATGATGCGGATGATGATGATGATGATGATGATTACGACACTGATGACGATTGCTAATATCAGTAGGAATGATAAGCTGTTGTTGTGACGAATGTTGCTGCTGACCAATTATCGGTCTTATAGGTGATGCAGCCATACATGCGGCTGCAAAAGTATGAGCTGTTGGAGTAATTTCCGATATGTTATCGGAAAATGTGCTATCGTCAAGTTTCAGACACGTTTTTTTTGAATTTACAGGTGTTAGAGATGATGTTGATGATGGTGATGATTCAGAAATGATAGCAAAATGATTGCCACGATATAATTTACTATCCGATACAGTACCGTAAATCGTTGATGATTTACGTTTATTACTAGTATTATTAAGTGAAATACCGGTGATATCAGTATTTTTTAAAATGTTACTACCAGAAAGAAAAGTAGCGGCTGCTACAGCAGCTGTATTAGATGGTTGAAAATTAGGATATTGTTGATGAAAATAATTTCGTGTAGAAATATTTGTATTCGGATAGCTAAAAAATGCAGCTTGTGCTTCACCCGTTGGTATCAATGTTGCTGTTGTGTATCCTGAGAATGGATAAGATGCGGAATTATTGAGAAAATTTCGAGATTGATTTAGATTATCAAATGTTGCAGCAACGGTATATGGAAACAGCGCTGCCGTGGACGACGTTGGAACTGATATGATGCAAGACGGTAACGTTTTGATGTGTGTTATTAGTTGTGTTATTGATTATATTGTAGTGAGATAAGCGAATTCTTTCCAAGTGATTGCAAATTAAGAGATCGAAAGTTTCCTTTTCAAAATTTGAAACACAGCTAGTGGAAATTATATGAAATGATTCCGTATTTTAATTCAAGATTTCTCCCTTTTTTTTTTTCGTTTTTCTTTAGAATAATAATAATAACAATAATAATAATTGCTAATAAATATTAGCAGTAGGATGTGGAGATGAATTTGAAATAGAAGTGTATGGTAATAAAAAATAGTAATAATTAATACAAAAATTGTATGGAATGTTCCGCAAATATGGCAGATCTCTTCAAAATGCGAAATAGAAATTTCAAAAATTTGATTGTTTGATTCAGAAAGAGAAAGAAAATATGGAAGAAAAAAAATGATATGCAAATATCGATCAGAGCATATATTAATTAGCTAATAGTTTTGGCATACAAGTAAGCAGTAGTAACCTGTATTTATAGTTTAATTTACAATCAGGTTACTGTTAACTGATAAAATAACAGTATCAGTAACAATAATAATAGTGCTAATAATAGTAATAGTAATAGTAATATTAATAACAGTCACAACAATTAGATATTCCAGAAAAATAAAATTTATTAGAATTTAAATGAAAAGGAAAAAAGCAATTCCGATTTAGTATCAAAGTAGGAAGAACGGAAAATAAAATACAAAAAAAAAGGGGAGAAAAGATAGAGGAAGATAGGAAGAATTAAATTAAATATAGCAATAATATACTTTGTTGTAATATAGTAATAATGCAGTAACAATAATTGGAAGAATTGATCGATACAACTATCCGTTTTCGTTGAATAACGTCAAAATACGTAACAGAAATTGAGCTTGTTCGGAGGATTCTCTGGATATTTGTTTCGTTTCAACAACAACAACAACAACAAATAATAATACCAATCAGCGAAATCTATGAAACAATAATCATTTTAATAATTAAAAAATTGAAAGAAAAAAAAAAGAAACGAAGGAATGCAATTTTTTTTTTTTTTTTAAACGAATAAACGTCGTATTATCGCGAAAAAAAAAAATGAAAACGAATCGGAGAAAATGGAAAGTATTGGGGGAGTGAAAAGAAAAAAAAAACGAAATGAACGAATTGATTCTTACGGGTTTTTTTTTCTTCTCAAATAAAATTATTGAATTAAATCCCTTTTCTCTTCCTATTGTCATCACATTATTCTCTTCGATCCTACCAAAATTTCACTCCTTTTTTTCTTTCATTCTCATTTTCCTGCTTGATAAGTGAGTAATATCAATGTGATGATATAAATAAAAGACATTTTTGTTAGTTTACTTAGTGAAAAGAAAAAAAAAATAAAAAAAGCCAATTGAAAAATGAAAATAAAGGTAAAGAGAAGATTTTTATAGCAAGAAAAATTCTCATCTTCACATACACACACACACACACACACACACACACACACA